GAGCGACCGTGAAGCCTACTAGTACCAAAGTTGAGTGGCCCCAGGGTCCAAAACACGCCGGTGAGATCTACATAAACCACCTGAGCCCCGCCATCAACCGCTGTGCGCAGTTCGACGAAATTCTGTGCATGACAACCCCGTTTTTCTGCATACAAGTTAGTCTAAATCAACACTTGACCTGTGACAACGCGACTCCATGTAAATATCAGACACCATTGATTATGATTTTACCTTAATGATGTACAATCTTTTACATATTTACGTTCAATCATCTGACCGTCTTGTAGTGTATGAAGCATCTGCCGATTTCACAGAAAATAACTGAAAATATGTGAACAAAATTTCTGTGCAATATGGGCATCTACGACTACATTCGTGATAACCAGTATTTCACTGCTCACGAAAACAAAGTATTCAACAGATTCATTTTCAGTGATTCTTAAAAGTGCCTCAGCATAGCATGTTCGCAGACAGAATTGAATCAGGGTCCCAGGTGAAAGATCAAAAGGGGTAATTGGTCATAATTGATTGAAATGCCAGTTGAGACGATCAGTGATTAAGAAACGAAGAAAACTGAAGAGATTACGTCACCGGAGCACGTGTCAATGGCTTTTACAGCCTTCATTATACAATGTGGCGTATTCAACCAGTCGATGAAGCATTGTGCGAAGTATTACAAAATCTCGATTGTTGCAACGTACTGAAAATATAGTGATTTGCAGGCAAGATTTGTCGGCAAATGGTCCAGAGCAAGCTAAGCTTTTTCTCAAAACTTTATACTCTTGAAAAAGCAACGAATTTGAATCACTGATAAGTTCAGGTTATATAACTACTTTACGGGCATACAATTTGACAGACTAGTACTGTTCCGCAGGTTAGTTTTGATCCCAGAGCTGATAGAACTCCCGCGTTCAATGTGGGAGAGAGAACAGCTTCCAACTGAATGGTATGATTCGGTCATCTTACCGACTTGTAAGAAACGTGAAAATCATAGAGGAATTAATTTGATTAACATTGTCTCTATACCGGTCGATTGTCCATCGCACGTAAAGAAAGCACCCGGGAGAATCAGGCCGGTTTAATACCTGGACAAACATGTATGTACCACAGTATCACACTTCGCCAAGTTCCTTTCATAGACCCATTATTTCTGTCTTCCTTGATCTGCAAGCAGCTTTCGACTCAGTTGACCGCTCTATACTCTGGTGCTGCTTCTCCATGAAGAGTGTGCGCGAGATAGTCATCTTAGTTTTGCGATTTCTCTATACTAATAGCCGGAGTGGGATCCGAGCTTATGGCACCTTTAGACCTGAGTTCCGGACGGAAAGCAGTGTTCGTGAGGATTGCTCTCTCTCTCGTTTTCTGTCCGCTTTAGCCATAGATTTGATTTTGGAAGCAGCTTTGTTCTTGTGCGAGGATAGCGGTATGCGTTTGGTGGACTCTTAGCTGAATCATCCAGTCTAATCCAGTAGATTCTGGAAGGTTAACCTTACTAGTTAAACGCTGAGTGACATCTCATGAACAGCCGAAGCAGCAGGCATCTCATACGATTTAGGAGTGAGAGGAGGAACTAGACAGATGGGAAACATGGTTTTGCAAATGGATACCTGGAACTTTAGAGCACGACGTACTTCGTGGTAGCTCAAACTGACGAAGAGGTGTTTCTTCGGGAACCCTGAACGAAGCCTTCGACAGTTTGAGCTACCACGAAGTACGTCGTGCTCTAAAGTTC